AGAGGAAGAAGAATAAAAAATAAGAGGAGAAGAAGAAAGGAATAGAGAGAGGAGAAATCGAAGAAAAAAAGAGGAGAAGAAGAAAGGAATAGAGGTGAAGAAGAAAAAAATAGACTAATTTTTTTTCTTCTCTTCTTCTCTTTTTTTTTTCTTTTTTCTCTTCTTATTTATTTCTCCTCTTCTTCCTCTCCTCTTATTCTCCTTTCTTCCTCTCCTTCTTCCTCTTCTTATTATTTTCATTTTTCTTCTCCTTCTTTTTCTTCTTCTTCCTTCTTCCTTCTTCCTAGGTAGATATATAAAAGTTTTCTAAAAATGTAACTTTTGCATATAAAAAACTTTTTCTTCTTCTTCCTTCTTCATTCTCTTCCTTCTTCCTAAATATATAAAACTTTTCTAAAAATGAAACTAACCCAAAATGCACTAAATCAGAGAACATACATAGATAAAACTTTTCTAAAAATCTAACTTTTGCATATATGAACATATATACACAGAGAACATACATAATATAAATAAAAAATTAGTACATATATGAAAAAAACATCATATGAAAAAAACATCATATGCACAAAAAAACATCATATGATCATATGAACAAAAAAACATCATATGAACATCATATGAACAAAAGAACATCAAAGAAAGGCCGCCGGACCGTAGCATGGGGCTGCGCAGGGCGGCGGCGCCGTCTGGGTGGCGCGGGGCGGCGACGGCGTCGGGGCGGCGACGGCGTCGGGGCGGTGCGGGGCGGTGACGGCGACAGCGTTGGGGCGGTAAGACGGCGCGGGGTGGCGCGCGGTGCCGCGCGGCGACGGCGTCGGGGCGGCGCGGGGTGGTGACGGCGCGGGGCGGCGACGGCGATGGCGTGGGGCAGCCTGGCGGCGCCGATGAGTTCGGCGTCGTCGGCGGGGCAAATGGTCGATGAAACTGAAATTTTTCACAGGTCCTGCTTATATACACGAAGCATTGGTCCCGATTCGTGGCACCAATCAGGACTAATGCCCCCCTTTAGTCCCGGTTGGTGCCATCAACCGGGACCAAAGGTCAATTTCCAGCAGCCCAAAGGGCGGGCAACAGAGGTCTTTGGTCCCGGTTGCTGGCACCAACCAGGACTAAAGGGTGGGGCATTGGTATCGGTTCGTGGCACCAACCGGGACCAATGCACCACTTTACTTTCGGTTGGTGCCACCAACCGGGACCAATGGGCCTTGCACAACGGCGTGGTGGTGGGAGTTTAGTCCCACCTCGCTAGCTAAGGGAGAGCCGCACCTATTTATAAGGTGTTGTGCGCCAACCCTCTCGAGCTCCTCTCTAAAGCAGGCTTTCGGGCCTAATCTGTCACTATGTGCCTGTGGGCCTACTGGGCCTACTGCGGGCCTGAATCCTGGCGCATTGTTGGGTTTCTAGTCGTATTCAGGTCGTGGTGGCCCTTTAGGTGGCACTTTTTTTATTTTTTTGTTTTCTTTTTTGTTTTGTTTATTTTATTTTGTTTCTACTTACAGCAAAATACTTACTAGTTTTCCAGTGATTCTTTTTGCTTTTATGTAATAAAAATTATAAACTTTCTGTTAGTGCCATTTGTTATCTAATTTGAATAGTTTAAATTTGAATTTTTGGAAATTTGTGTGAATCACTAGTTTTTGAATAGCTTTACTATTAAAATAGATTTTTGAGTGATTCTTTTTCCTGCTATTTAATATTATTGTGTTTTATCATTATATTCAAAAACATATTTGGTATTTTAGTTTCTAACAAAAAAATTCTTTATGATAATTCTTTTTGCAATTAAAGTTTCTAACGAAAAATTTCTTTATGACAATTCTTTTTTCTTTTAATGTTTTGAACAGAAAATACTTTGATAATTTTAGTTGCATAAATTTTATATAATTTTAGTTCAATAATACTAGAGATTTTATAAAAGTTTATTTTGTTTTTACTTATTTATTAGAGTTTATTTTGTTTCTACTTATTTATTTTCTTTTTTTTGCTTCTTTTATTTATTTTATGAAAATTCTTTCTTTTTTGCTTTATTTATTAAAGTTTTTTCTGTTTCTACTTATTTATTTTATTTTGTTTTTTGCTTTTGTCATTTATTTTATGAAAATTCCTTTTGCTTTTAATGTTTTGCACACAAAAGCCCTCTTCCTTGGCTGGTTCATTGGTCCCGGTTCGTGGCTTAACCCGGTACTAAAGACCACCCTTTGGTCTCGGCTTAGGCCACCAACCGGGACAAATGGTGGTGGGCCAGGAGCGAGGCCCATTGGTCCCGGTTCGTCCCACCAACCGGGACCAAAGGTGCCAGACGAACCGGGCCAATGGCCCCACAAGGCCCGGCAGGCCCCTGGCCTCACGAACCAGGACCAATGGCCCTATGGGTCCCGGTTCGTCACTAAACCGGGACTAATGGGCTAACCTGGCCCGAACGAAAGCCCTGTTTTCTACTAGTGCTGGTAATAGGGGGCATTACATGGTCACAACAGTAGAAGGCATGGTTGGTCGTTGTGTGAGCAGGAAAGTAATTCATGTCTAGCTTCTCGTGTACTATGCACACTAGCTGTGTTGTGTGACTTGTGCCTCTGTCATACAGCTTAAAGTCTAATTGAGCGGAATCTTAACTGTCATGTGCATTACACTTTCATGAGCACAACAGTACATGTGTAATAAAAATGTTCCTTGAACACTCGCCCAAATGTGTGTCGTTTGTAATCAGAAGGAGAACATCAGTGGATCCAGGTTTACTGAACAAAACCAGCCAACTAACAGGGTCAGACTTAAGAATTTCAGAGCTGTCACAAGATTCAGAGAAATAGACTTGCAAATTGGGAGAACTTAAAAGCACTTGTAGTTTCTAATTGATCCGTGTTGGTTACTCCCTACTCCTAAAATGTATATGAATTCGCTCTGTCCATTTCTCTGCCTTATTTGAGCTAGGAGCCTAGGAGCATTTTTGGAACATGCTGTAGATTTCAACTAGAATAAGTAGAAGCAGATGCATTACAAAGAGAATCTGAACATCAGTATGGAATACAATGAGTTGTTCTGCTGTAGAAAAAGAAGGTTTGCAATATCAAAACATTTTGAAGGTAAAATTAACTCAAGATAAGGGGATTCTGATTGTACTAATTTGGAAAGATACAACAGATATGCTTTTTTTTCCTTTCAGAACATTTCTGCTCATGATCGGGCTGGCTGTCTTTGTTGGGATTATCTCATTTCACCTGGGACCTGATAGATCTGAGGCTACAGGTGGAGCAGAGGATTTCACATTTCCAGCAATATAGAAATTTGCTTCATTTGTTGCAACAAAGTTATGATCTATATTGCTCTTAGCATCCATGCTACCTTCCAAGACTTTGACTACCTCTGACATTTTAGGCCTTCTTTGGAAGTCAATCTGCAAACACCACATGGCGAGCTTCATCATCTGAATTATGTCTTGCTCATGTGCTTGCATGTCGTTACTGCTCTTGTCAATCAAGTCTACCAAGTAACCGTTCTTCACCTTTTCTTCCAGTAGAGTAATAAGATGGATGCTCTCTTCAGACCGGGAAGTGTCGAGGTTCTTTCTTCCACTGATGATTTCCATGACCACAATGCCAAAGCTATAAACGTCAGCCTTCTCTGTGATTTGTGATGTCAACCATTCAGGAGCTAAGTATCCAGGTGTCCCTCTCATTCTAGTAACCACTTGGCTCATATCCCTATCAATGAGCTTACATAGGCCAAAATCAGAAATTTTGGCATTGAAGTTGTCATCTATGAGGATGTTTTGTGGCTTGACATCCAAATGAGCAATTCTCTTCACGCATTCCTCATGAAGATAAGAGAGACCCTTAGCTATGTTAGTGATTATCTTGCATCGTGTGCTTCAATCTAGAGGAGGAGCATCATTGTCAGGTCGACAATAGATCCACCTATCCAAGGATCCTTTGGGCATATACTCGTATACCAAGAGCCTGTGGGATTTCTCAGCACAGAAACCAAACAGCCTCACTAGATTGATATGATGAATGCTGCCTATTGTTTGAACCTCTGCCAAAAATTCTCTGTTTCCCTGACCAGCTCGATCCAAACATTTTACTGCAACCCTTTCCTCACCTAGCTGTCCCTTGAAAACAGACCCAAATCCTCCTTCCCCAAGCTTGCCTTTGAATTGCTCGGTCGCTACTTCTAACTGTTGAAACGTGAACCTCATTGGTGTTCCTTGTAGCTTACCAAACTCTGCCTCCTCTTCCTCCATCTCATGGCGTCGTCGTGTCCTTCTTTGATGTATGACGAAAAGGATGAATGCGACAATGAAAATGAAACTGACTATGGAAGCTGCAATTGCAATCGGAACAACTATGTCTACTTTTCTGGATGAGGGTCCTGTGCTTGATGGCCCAATAGCAGTTGAAGCAGGACTTGGAGCCGGTGAAGAGGGTAGATCGATTGGTGGGCAGAAGACTACCATGTAGTTGGTATATCTCGGACAACTGAATGCAGCTTGCGAGGGAGAATATTCAGAGAAACTTATTGCCTCCGGGCACATCTGCACAAAATAGGCCGAGTATTTATCGGGTAAACATCCGTCCCCAGAGCAGCAGTACAAATAGGACTGATTCGTGAACACTTCACATGCGCTGTTGCAGCCTCCGGGCACCTTGAGCTCGATCGGACACTGCGATGTGATGTTGGCAGCACAGCGCGGCCCCTTGCTGCACCCTGATCTTTTTTTCCACTCGACTGGCACTGGCAGGATCTCCATGGGTACATTGAAGCCGTAGAAGAGGGAAATATAGAAGAAAGTGTTGGCGTAAAGATGGAGGAGTTCGAAATTAGCAGTCGTGGTGGGCGGCTGACCATACCTCTTGCAAGCGAGCATGCCGTCGCAGTCGCCTGTCTGGCACGACCCGTTGCCTCCGCTATCAAATGAGCAGCCTGTTCGTGCCCAAACTGTTGTGCTGGTGGAAGAATCGGGCACCTTGAGGGTCCATGTCTTCCCTGGGTCCAGCGGCATGCCGCCGCCCACCGGTACAGCGGCCGGCCACACGGTGTAGGAACATTGATTGGTGATGTTCAACGTGATGGCGGTGACAACATGCAGAAGGGGGAGGAGCAGGGGGAGGAGCAGGTGGAGGAGAGTCACAAAGGTAACCGTAGCTGCCATTTGTTGAAGCTAAACCGGATAAATTAGTCTGCAACAGGACTTGTTTCAGAGGAAATGATAGAACTGAGAGGAACAAAGATCTGTTGTATCAGTGTGGCTATGCTCCTAAATATTTGTGGGCTGGAAATGTTCAACAGTCTGCGCTCAACTGCCGTCCCCAAACTATCAAGCCGGCTGTATAACATAGTCCTGGGCCTGGCAATTACTCAATTGATGTATGTTTTTTTTTTGTCGTGACAGTGAGATCGCCTGCAGGGCAGCAATGCAAAAAGAGACAAATAATACCATCTGGAGTGGAGATCAGTTTTGGGACCGGCGAGCTGAGCTGGTCTGTGGCAGCTGCAGAACTGGATGTCTTTTGACTTTGAGTGGCCAATCATGCCGTCAACTGTGGGAGTTTTCGGCCTCTCATTTCCAAAGCCATCAATCTTGATGATCTCAAGTTGTCATGCTAGTCGAGCTTTAAAGTGAAGAAGAAACTATTAAGGAATCGAGTTGAGGGTACCAAAAATAAGAAAAAGAGAAAATGTACACATCACCAGTCGATCTAAGCGTGAGGGTGCCATTTGTCCTATGAATTGCTTTCGTTGATCAAGTTATTAAACTGGATCGAAGTTGCAGTAGAATAAAAGAACTGATCCAGGGAGCTAGAGACAACGACATATAGCAATATAGTGGGACTTAGACAAGGCCGGCCTTGCTCCTCGGAGGCTGGGACCTGTTCAATTACTGGCTTCATTTCTTTTCAATTTCATGTGTATTAGTGGCTGGGGCGTGCTATTGGCACGCCTCCTCAGCGTTCATATGCATATTTATCTTACTTATGCACCTCCGCATGTCTAGATGATCTTTGATGGTACTTATGTACAACAAAAATGATTCGACAAATGTCTTCTTCAACAATTGACTCTCCAAGACAATCCTAGCAGAGGTAGATTTATAAAACTTGCAGTCGACTATTTAATATGTCTCTAACGTATCTATAATTTTTGATTATTTCATGTTATTATTATATTATCAATCTTGGATGTTTTATATGCATTAATATGTTGTTTTATATCTTTTTTGGGACTAACCAATTAACCTACTGCCCAATGTCAATTGCTATTTTTTCCTGGACCAGAAAACAAACACGAAGCTCCGGAAAGAGGCCAGAAGACCCACGAGGGGGCAACAAGCCCCGAGGGGCGGCCAACACCCCCTTGGCTTGTGGGCTCCCCGTGGCTCTCCTAACCCTAATCTCAGCTCTATAAATACCCAAATATTTGCCTTACGTCAAAGTGCACAAAAAAATACTTTTCCGCCGCCGTAAACTTCTGTTCTCCTGAGATCTTATCTTGGAGCCTTTTCCGGCACTCCACCAGAGGGGAATTCGATCACAGAGGGCTTCTACATCAACCTTGCTGGCCTTCTGATTATGTGTGAGTAGTTTACCACAAACCTTGGCAAAGGTAGGGGCGAGTTTCTTGCCTGCGGTAGCTGACAGCTTATTAGGAAGAGGATGATTTTATGTGTTGACCCCATATCTTTTCAGAAAAACAGCCTAAAACACTGTACAATTACTTGCGTCGTTGAGAAAAAATAAATCGGAAAACCAGCAGTGACCTCAATGATTTTTGTGGCTGGCTTGGCCACTCAGCATACTACAAGCGGTTTGGTTCAGGAAGGCGTCCACGTTCAGCTAGCCCGACAGCGACAGGAATCCTCCGGCGTGCTTCACCATAACCGAGCTGACAACCTCTTGACAGTAAAATGTGGGTATCAAATTCAGATTAGATGCTGGATGCTGCTAAATCAGTTACAGTTCAGAGATTACTAACTACTCCCTATAAGACGTTTTTTGACACTATGACAGAATGTACACATGTAATTACCATAAGATACATTACGTACAACCTCACAAATAGATGATATTGTAGTTAACATAGATGTAGATTATTTTCCTCTGAAAATTGTTGATCAGCAAGAGAGATGTGCCAACCACAACAGATTGTCAACTTTATGTATACATACAACAAAGATAACTTCCCTGAACAGGTTTCTTTTTCTTTTCGGTTTTTCCTTTTTCCTTTCTGTTTTATTTTTCTTTCTTCTTCTTTTGTTCTTTTTCATTTTTTTTCTTATTTTTATTTTTCGTTTTCAGTTTGCACACATCTTTCAAATCCGTGAACATTTTTTGAGTTCATTAACATTTTTCAGATAGATGACATTTTTTTAAATTGTGGACATCTTTTAACTACCTTAATATTTTTTTTACAAATTTGTGAGTATTTACCAAATTGATGAAAAAAAATCATAATTTCGTAATTTTTTAGTTTCTAAAAATTTTGTGAATTTTCTTTTCGAATTCATGAACATTTTTGTGTTCGTCCAATTCAAAAAATATTCATCTAATATAAAAAATGTTCATCTAAGTCTAATTTATTTCATCAGATTTAAAAAATATTCATCAAGATTCAAAATGTGTTCATCAAATGAAAAAAGGTTCACCAAATTCCAAATTTGTTCACCGACTTTCACAAAATGTTCTTTAAATTCAAATTTTGTCCAACCATTTGTCAAAGAAATTAAATACTAATTTTGTTCATCAAGTTCAAAAAATGTTCATCAAATTCAAAATTTGTTCATCAAATACAAAAATAGTTACTCGTTATTATGCTTATAATTTTTTTTCATCAAAATAAAAAGATGTTCTATAAAACGCAAATTATTTTCATTCTTTTGAAAGCATGAACATTTTTCGATTCAAGAAATGTTTTTGAATTCGGTGAACATTTTTTGAATCCTGAGCATTAATCATTTCCTAACATTTTTTTAAATCGTGAACAGTTTTTTAATTCACGAATACTTCACGATTTGTAACTTTTCTGAAATCCCGAATTACTTTTTTTTAAAAAAGGTTAAAATTGAAAAAAGTCAAAAAAGGGAAACCTAGGCTTTTTTTTCTTAGAATGCCAACCCTTTATTTGATCAAGGTGCTTCCCGCTTTCAGGCCCCGCACATGGGCAGGTCCACTCGGGTGCGCGGGGGAGCGGGATGCGCGCTCCCTGGTTCCCTGGCGCCTACAGGCCCAAATAGGTGAAATCACTAGTTGAGGAGTACTCCTTGCGGAGATTACTCCAACTTCTTCAGGTTGCGACAAGTGGCGCTCTGCATGTGAGCCACTTGTCGCAACCTGGGAGTTTTCCCTTTTTTTGTAGATTCATTTATTCAAAACGTTTTATCTCTTAAACTGTGCGTCCAAATCTCGAACCGCTTTCGTCGTTGGATTCCTCACGTCGAGATCTGCAAAACTAGAACCCATGTTGATAGGTTTTGACGAACTTTTTTTCATGAAAAAACCGGACGAAAAAACCGAACCAGGAACACGGTTTTTGTCCTTTCCGAAAAAGGCACGCACGTGCCTCTGACGAAATCACAACCGTGCCTCTCGCGGAAGCAAAACCGTGCCTCTCGCGAAAAAAAAACAGAAAACACATTTTTTCCCTTTTCAAAAAGGCACGCCCGTGCCTCTCGCGAAAAGTACAACCGTGCCTCTCGCGGAAGCA